TTTTTTTTTTTTTTTTTTTTTTTTTTTTTTTTTACAATTATATTTGTAAGAAAATTACCCAATATTGTTGCTAAGTTATTTATTCTTGTACCCTACAAAATAGGTTTAATTAAAATTTTGACCCCACCCTTTTGGAAAATAGCATTTGGGCCCAAGAAGCAATGTCCGACCAAACATTGAGGTATCTCTTTGTCTATTTACTCCAATTTGAGAAAGACCCCAATTAACGTTAGTTTACTACTATCAGATATTGTCTGTTTTGTTTCGTGTATCATCATCAATCTCACGATTTTAAAACACATCTATTAGAAAAAAGTTTCTGCACTTATAAATAATGTTATGTACCTCCCTCCAATTAACGTGAGACCTCACAATCTACCCCTTTAGAGTCCTAGTGTATTTGTTGACACACTGTCTTGGAACATGGTTTTGATACCATTTGCAACAACTCAAGTCCACTGTTAGTCGATATTATCCGCTTTTGCCCATTACATATAGCTAACGATTTTAAAACGTGTATACTAAGTATAAGTTTATCTGTAATTAATGTTTTGTTTCCTTTTTCAACTAGTGCGATACCTCGTAAGAATAATATAGATATTCAACAAGGGTCGAACAGTGTGGATGATAATTCTACACGAGGTATTAAGTCGTTTAAAGACTATAACTCGAGCCTTTATTAAACCCATATCGAGGAAGACAACAAGTTGCAATTGTAGTATTTGCATTGAATAATTCTTCTCGAGAAATGATGATTATTTTTCGAGTTTTATAAGATAAGGAATCGTTTAAGTGGAACCTTTTATTAGGTAAAAGCAATAGAAGAAAGAATTGCTTGAATGAAAGGTTTGCTTTGGACAATTACTTGTAAGTTCTTGAAATCCACAAGGACTACTTTCTCTCTCCTCTATTCTCTCTCTTAAACCGATTCACGGCGGAGAGAAACTCGACGGGTTTCTTGGAATCTCCATAACTTGAAGTGGGTCGAGAAGATTCTGAAGAAATATTGAAGGAACATGAACGAATTTTAGAGAGAGAAAGTTAGAGAGAGAGAGAAGAATTTGGATAGGATCGATGGATAGCTTGCTCTGCGATGAATTGATTCAAGAAATTTTTCAAAAGCTACCGTCGCCGTCGTCTACCGCTGTGTCTCTGGTGTCGAAGCGGTGGCTCCGACTTCACCGGACCTCCAAAACCGCCTTGTCTCTCCGCCTATGCGATTCCTCTGTTTCATCTCTCTCGTCTCTCCTCTCCCACTACCCCTTTCTCTCATCCCTTTCAATTCTCTCTGCCGATTCCTCCGCCGTGCCGACCGCCACTCTTTCCACCCAAGTCATCTGGAAAATCCGCCGTTTCTGTACAAATCTTCAGTCTCTAAGACTCCTCGCCGGTCCTGTTTCTCTCTCATCGCTTATTTCTCTATCCTCTGTTTGTACCCACCTCGCTTCTCTCTCTATCAACATATCTCGGCCGTTGAATTTCCGGTGGGTCGTTAATTTTCCATCTCTGAAATCGCTCTCCATCTCGGTTAGCTCCGGCGAGGGTTTTGAAATTGAGTTGAATTCCGACGATTGGGAGTGGGAATCGGCGGATTTGGCGATTCAGAACCTCTGTTTATCCGGTCTCCGCGCCGGCGATTGGGGCGCCGGCTGGCTGTGGCGGAGCTGCAAGAATCTCCGACAATTGCAACTCCATAGCTGCGAGACCGTCGGCGATGGTGGGTCGTTTTCGTCCTTTGTCGAGTGTTTGCCAAGCCTCCATGAAGTTGAGCTCCGAACTTGCCGGAGCATAGCCGACGGCGTTCTGATGAAATTAGCAGACAATTGCCGGAATCTTACCTCCCTCCTCGTCTACGACGGCGGCAGTAGAGAAGGTAGATTAAAGTAAATTCATCCCTTCCTTACCATTAGATTAAATTTTGATTCGTTATTAACTTATAGAACAATTGCATTAAAATTGGTAGTGTACTCGACCCGCTTTATCTACTATAGTTACTGCATTAAAAAATTATTACTGCTTTGTCCACTATGGTTACTGCTTAAGATTACTTTGTTCTACTATAGTTACGATTTTATCCACTATAGTTACGGCTTAAGATTACTTTGTTCTACTAATAGTTACTATTTTATCCCCTATAGTTACTGGTTAAGATTACTTTGTTCTACTATATTTACGGTTTGATCCACTAGAGTTACAACTTAAGATTACTTTGTTCTACTGTAGTTACTGCTTTATCCACTCTAGTTGCTGCTTAAGATTACTTTGTTCCCTAAAAGATTTCTTCCCTCAATTTTTTTCTTTGCTTCTTTTATTTGTTTCGATATATTTCGATCATGGGTCAAATTCAACAAAGGTCTACTCCGATTCCTCAACGACCCTCGGACCGAATTGCAGAGTCTAGACCTTCGTCTTCCTCTCGACCTCAACAACCAGCATCTCACCGCCATAGCCGCAAACCTTCGAGGTCTCTCATCTCTCTGGCTACAAAGTTGCTGTCTCGTCACCGGCGATGGTCTAAAAGCCATCGGCCTCGCCCTCGGCCCCTGTCTCAAGGAACTAGCGTTAATTAACTGCGACGTCGTCGCGAGAGAATCGGGGTTGCTAGCCACCATGGGACAGAGCTTGAAGCAATTGAAAACTCTGAACTTATCTTACAATGAGACGTTGCTTGACAAAGACTTCAGCTCCATGATCATCTCTTGCAGCTCCATTACAGAGCTTAACCTCCGGGGTTGCAAAGGGCTGACCGGAGCCTCCATTTTGGCCACGTGGCGGAGCTGCAAGAACTTGGAGGCCATTGACATTGTTCAATGTCCAAGAATTCAGGCCAGTGCTTTGGAGCTATGTGTGCTGAATTTGCCCAGGTTGAGACAGCTCAAGGTTGAAGACGACAGGGTTTCCGACATCGTCGGGAGCTCAGTGTCACGCCGATTCGTCGATATTGTTGTTTGATTCAAATGGGGTCGAAGAAAACCCAATTTTAAGATCATATAAATAAGAAGGATGATTCATAAATTATACTCTTTCGTGTTGGAATAAATGTTCTATGTTTACGTAAAAATAAAATTAGAGTTTATTTCTTTGTTTGTTTTTTAATTATAATATTACCGTTCACTTCTCATAAACGTCACAAAATTGGATCTTAGAGTATAAATTTATTAGAAAGTCGGGCAGAGAATTAAGGTGGAAACGATGGGAAAGAAGTCGAGACATGTATGAATTAAGCTTGAAAAAAGGCATAAATCATCAATCCGCTCCATTTATCTAACAGTAAAAAATTGTTTCGCATTCCCTGTATAGAAGTGGATTCCCGTTTAAAGCAGATCCTAGCAAATAAAGTAAATACGAGCATTTAAAGTATTGGATATTCGTATTTTTTATTACAAATTATAGCTGATCGATTTTTTCAACACGAGCATAATTTAGTTATAATTATTATTAAGCTGCATTCACAATATTGTATTAATTTTATTTTTAATTATCTAAAAATTATTTAACTAAAATCTTCCTTCAATAACAATTATACATCGACCATCCTTAATTATATTATTAATATTGGTACTTATCAAATAGATTAATTAAATTATTTTGGTTTTTTAAAAATATTTATTAAATAAAAAACAGCATTTTTAATTTTTTTTTATGGGAAGTGTGGTGTTTTTAAAAATATTATTGTAAAATTAAAGAAAAAAAGGGGCAGGAGATGAGCTGTCAAATTATTTATTTATTTATTTAAAAAAAATGAATTTGTCAAAGCAGCTTTTAGTTTGAAACAGACGTACCAACTCTATTTTTATTTATTTATTTATTTTTTGTAATTTTCTTTTTTCATTTACTTTATTATTAAATTAATAATATAATTTGAGTGGTCAAAATTTTGAAAATAACCTTTTATGTATATTTTCAAATTTTTTAAATATTATTAATAAATACCGTTGTGTTATATATTTTGTAGCTAATGAAAAAGGAATAAAAATAAATAATTATTTGTCTTTTTTTTTTGCTCCAATTACTCACGTCCACGTGGATGGTTGCACCGCCAATGTAATTGCCACCGCATAATTAACGTTTTGTTTTAATTTACAAAATAATCAAAATCATAAAAGCCGATTGATTTAGATTTTTTTTTTTAATTTTTTGGGCTATGTTGAATTTATGATAAATAAAATTTTTTATCGAGACTCGACCAACCTGAAAATAGGGTTTACAACTCAACTATGTCTTCCTTGTTTGTCACTAACTTATCAACTCGAAATTTCAAGTTGGTCTAAAAAATTTTTCCAACCTATTCCGAAATCCCGTTAACATACGGTCCAATGTCTAACTTTGATACTACGTGTAACAGTGTACGTCCACTGCTAGCAGATATTATACTATTTATGATGAATTTTCGTTCAAAGGCTTCCCCTAAAGGTAATCCAACCCATCTCGAAATCTCGTTAGCATACCGTCCGATGTCTAACTTTGATACTACTTGTAACAGTGTACGTCCACTGCTAGCAGATATTATACTATTTATGATGAATTTTCGTTCAAAGGCTTCCCCTAAAGGTAATCCAACCAATCTCGAAATCTCGTTAGCATACCGTCCGATGTCTAGCTTTGATACTACTTGTAACAGTGTACGTCCACTGCTAGCAGATATTATACTATTTATGATGAATTTTCGTTCAAAGGCTTATCTCGAAATCTCGTTAGCATACCGTCTGATGTTTAACTTTGATACTACATGTAACAGTTTAAGTCCACTGCTAGCAAATATTATTCTATTTATGACGATTTTCCGTTCAAAGACTTCCCCTAAAGGTAATCCAACCCATCTCGAAATCTCGTTAGCATACCGTCCGATGTCTAACTTTGATACTACTTGTAACAGTGTACGTCCACTGCTAACAGATATTGTACTATTTATGATGAATTTTCGTTCAAAGGCTTCCCCTAAAGGTAATCCAACCCATCTCGAAATCTCGTTAGCATACCGTCTAATGTCTAACTTTGATACTACTTGTAACAGTTTAAGTCCACTGCTAGCAAATATTATCCTATTTATGACGATTTTTCGTTCAAAGACTTCCTCTCAAGGTGTTAAAAGGATGTTTTCACATATTTATAAGAAATGTTATGTTCTCTTCTCCAACCAATGTCGAATCTAGCAAAATGATTATTAAGTTCTCAATCCTTTCAATTATTAAAAAAAAATAATAAATTATTTTAACGTTTTCAATAAAAATTTGAACTTTAAAAATAATTAATATGTTCATGAATTTTTAATTACGTGTCTAACCGGTATCTAATTTTAAAAAACGTTTTGTTTAGATTTGTGTATAATATAAACATATTTAACAAATTTTTAAATCTTAAGATAAAATATAATTTTTTTAATATTTTAATTTTACGTCTAATAAAATTCTTAAATTAAAAATTTATTAAATATTATTTAAAAATTTAATCACTTTTTAAACATTTGATAAATATTGATATAAGAAATTATTTGTTATAAATTTAGAAACCAAATAAATAAATGAGTACGAAACTTTTATTTATTTTATTTATTTTTTTAATTCAACAATTAAAAAGTGAAAAAAAGTGGAAAATTCAAAAGAGAGGGGAGGGTGTCGAGCGCCGTTCGCCGAGCGTGAGCGAAAGGGGCGGACTCCCGGTCATTCAGCAATCAATCGAGATAGCGGAGCTCGAGGAGGCCGAGGCTATGGCGACGGAGTCGTCGGAAGGAGAAGACGATGTGAAGCTTACAGGAGGAAATCAAGTTCTCGTGGTTGAAGACGATCTCAGAGAAATGGGGAAAAAGGCCGCTTGGAGTGTTAGCTCGTGCAAACCTGGGAATGGCGTCTCCGCCCTACGCGATGATAACCTTGAAACTTATTGGCAGTTGAAATCCCCTCTCTGCAGTTCTCCTTATGTTTGCGGCATGAAATTTTTTGTTTCATATTGCTAACACTGTTGGTTACAGATCTGATGGCGCTCAACCTCATTTGGTGAACGTTCAATTTCAGAAGAAAGTGAAATTGCAGGTATGAGATTGTGACTCTTATAACTTCGAACTGTTAGAATTCTATTTGAGGTCGAAATGTTGAGGAATAATTGGGGATTTTTGCAGCTGGTTGTTCTCTACGTAGATTTTAAGCTTGACGAGAGCTACACGCCGAGTAAGGTATCTATTCGCGCAGGGGACGGCTTCCATAATTTGAAGGTAACTCATAATTTTCAGGATTTCTCTCCAAACATACAAGTTTTAATCATTTTGAATATATTACTTTGGTTGAATTTAGGAAATAAAAACCGTGGAGCTCGTTAAGCCAACTGGTTGGGTTTATTTATCATTGTCCGGAAGTGATCCAAAGTAAGTGTAGAACATCAACAACACTTACCATTTTCTGTTGTTTTTTTTGTCCGTTTTCTTCATAAAATATCTTCGCTTCAGTGAACTGTTCTTGTTTGACTCAATCTTGGATTTTAGATGAAGCGCCAAATAATAGATGCAGTTGTTAGGATCAGATATGGGTTATCTTGGGTTTAATCTCAATATGCCTCAACATTGTTCTTATCTAGAGTTTTGTTTTATCCCTTAAACTATTGGTGACAGGACTAGTATTTCCTTGAGTTAATAATAAAGTAGTTTGTTGAAACCTCTTATCATAATAATTCAATTGCCTCGTTATTCTTGGTTCATCGGGAGGGATACTTCTAAAATAAGAGTTGGAACAGACTTCACGAGTTTGATTTGATAAGGAGCGTTTATATCACGAAAGATTTATTGAGTTTGATAGCTTGTGCTAGAAATACTGAAACATAGGCAAGAAAATTAAAAGTTATAGCTCCCAATCAGAGAGGCGTTGCCCTCTTCACTTTTAGCTACTCACTACCAGCCTACCCCTCTGATAGGCCCCTCTTTTTATCCTTAGTATTACAAAAGAGGGCGTCCCGCCACCTGACTAAATGCCTCACACTTCCATTGTGCAAGAACAGTCTAACACTAACCCCCTTACATTTAGGCATGCACTTTCTCCTAGTAGATAATGCAATTGGGAGTTTTCCACCCCTATTGAGATTGTTCTTTTGAATTTGCAGTTTACCTCTTTCATATTCTTCTTAGTGACAATTGATGATTTTTCCTTTTAGGCACCAAAAAAAGTATTTTCTTTTGTTGGCCATGACTAAGTGACTACGATCAAAACTGGATCCTCTCGATTATCTCTCTCTACAACTGGTCTCTTTTTTCTCTCATTTGCTCATATCCACATCTTCTCTAAACATGGACACATGAATTTCATACTTCCTACTTGGGATCTAGCAGGAGTCATCCACGAAGCCAATGGTGAAGCTGTAAAGGCCCAAGCCCACCGCTAGCATATATTGTCCTCTTTGAACTTTCCCTTTCAGGCTTTCCCTCAAGGTTTTTAAAATGCGTCTACTAGGGAGAGGTTTCCACACCCTTATTAAAGGTGTTTTGTTGTCCTCCCCAACCGATGTGGGATCTCACAATCCACCCTCCTTGGGGGGCAGCGTCCTCACTGGCAATCGTTCCCTTCTCCAATCGACGTGGGCCCCCTATTCACTTCCCTTTGGGGCCAGTGTCCTTGCTTGCTGGCACACCATCTCGTGTTCACCCCCCTTTGGGGCTCAGTCTTCTCGTTAACACATCGCCCAGTGTCTGGCTCTGATATCATTTATAAAAGCCTAAGCCCACCGCTAGCAGGTATTGTCCTCTTCTGCCTTCCCCTTTCGGACTTCCCCTCAAGGTTTTTAAAATGCGTATGCTAGGGAGAGGATTCCACACCCTTATTAAGGGTGTTTCGTTCTCCTCCCTAACCGATGTGGGATCTCACAGAAGCAATACAAAAATTGCTTGGAGAAGGGGATTTGGTTGTATGTCCTGAAAGGACACGGGAGTCGTATTTATTCAGTCCACTTTTTGCTGAGTTGACTTATGAAATTGTGCTGGTTGCTATGAATACGAGTATGTTTTATTGGACAACAACCATGTCAGACAGTGGATTAAAATGGTTGGATCCAATTTCCTTTTGATGAGTCTGAGCCAAGTGACGGCAATGATTGTTCTTCCTAACATTTCGAGGGAATTGTCATGTGCTGGAGGGAAATCTAGTTGTGAGGTTGCTAATTAGATATAAAGACATTTGGCTGATGTTTTGGGATTTGAATGTACTAAGTTTATGAGAAAGGATAAGTACTTTGATATGAGATTGGGAATGATGGATTGTCCAAGAGAAAAAATCTTAATTATCTTTAGTTAAAAAGATGAGATTGGGAATGATGGATTGTCCAAGAGAAAAAATCTTAATTATCTTTAGTTAAAAAGATGATTATTATTATTATTTTGGTAATAACAAACTGATATTGGACATTAGCAAATGAGAGAGGAAAAACATACACATTGAAGAGAGAGAGAGAGAGAGGGGAGAGAGATAATAAAGGGGTTTTTTTTTAGAGTGAGAAGATAATAAAGAAATGAAATTTTAGAGAGAGAGGGGAGAGAGATAATAAAGGGGTTTTTTTTAGAGTGAAGATAATAAAGAAATGAAATTTTAGAGAGAGAGGGGATTGTTTTCATTTTCACTGGAGAAGAAGCTCTGAAACAGCATAGAGGGGAATAAAGGAGGAAGAAGAAGGGTAGGAGAAGAAAGAGAGACCAATTTCACATAAGCTAAAAAAATAAAATCAATTGTCAAAACATTTTTCCGTTGCTCAACTATTCGTCAGGGGACCATTCCGAAGGCGTCCTTGGGGTGATCTCGTAGTTCCTACGGGGTGGAGATGATGGGACTTAGTGATTCGACGGTGCCGAGTGGAAGGGCCGTATTTTTTTGAAACGATGACCTACGAGCACGGAAGAGTTTTGAACTTTTTGTTAAAGGTGAAGGACTAAACTATCAGTTTTTGAAATGTAGAGACCGAATAGAAACTTGTCTTCAAACCAAAGGATCATAAGCGTATTTTACCCATTAATTTACGTTGTAAATTTGTGCACTTTCATTAGCTTATTCTTTGATTAGGATCAGTTTGTGATATTGCTACCAATATCCCATTGGAAAGCACGATTTGTCTTTTTTAGTTATTAATTAAACCTTTTTATAACCAGAACATCTTTTAGATACTGCCTTCTGAAGTGTGATGATTGATGGATATATATCGAAAAGTCTAAACCTAACTATCTTAGTGATATGGTAATAAAAAAATGGAGGTAATTCTCTATATCAGGCCATTGATATGAACTGAAAAATCTGCTATTCCATTAGTTCATGAATCTGGATATGAATTATCGGTCTGAATAGGTGATCTGCTAATGAGTTCAGAAGAAGTTCACAGGATAAGTTGATCTAGTTCCACATTAGTCAGTAAATTATAGATAAGGTCGGACTCCTTATTACAGTATGGGTGGAAACTTATATATATATAGGCACCACATGAGAAGCAATTTCATTGATGGTAAAGAAATGCATCCTATACCCGAAGCTTGCTTGCAAGGAGAAATGGTGAAAATATGGGGAAAGTGAGCGGTCTCAGAAATCTCTCCCTACCATACGTGTTTTAAAATCGTGAGGCTGACGACGGTACATAACGGACTAAAGCGGACTATATCTGCTAGCGGTGGACTTGGGTTAACAAGTGGTTTCAAAGTCAGACACCGAGCAGTGTGCCAACGAGGACATTGGGTCCCCAAGGGGGGTGGATTATGAGATCCACATCGGTTGGAGAGGGAAACGAAGCATTCCTTATAAGGGTGCGGAAACCTCTCCCTACCATATGCATTTTAAAACCGTGAGGCTGACAGTGATACGTAACGGACCTAAGTGGATAGTACTTGCTAGCGGTGGGCTTGGGTTGTTACACTTGACAATCATCAAGCCCCTTTTTGATAGAAAGGAGGATCTTGTCCCATTTGATCAGATGAATTCCCGCATTCTCAATATTGCATTACGATAGGAAATTCCTATAAATACTTTATATAGTTGGCACACTTTTGGTGGCATTGTGAATAGGGATAAGTAGTATAGTTGAAGGTTGGTTAATGCGGCTTGTGGCGTCTATAAGAGGAAGGGAATCCGTAGAAATATGAGAATTCCTCCTAAGAGTGTTGCTTTTTCTTTCATCCTTCTTAAAAGGCTTCTTTCTTATTATGTGTCCGGGTTGGCCTAGTGATCAAGGACCACATAAATAACGAAGGATTTAGGGAGTACGAGTTCGGACAAACACCTACTCAAAATTTAATATCCTACGTGTTACTTAACAACTAAAAGTGGTAGGATCAGAAGGTAGTCCCATGAAAATAGTTGAGGTTCGCACAAGCTGCCTCCGATACTCATGAATTATATAACTTACACGTCTCTAAGGGACACTCAAAGCCTTCAACTCATTTAGAACAATTACACTTTGCAGGGATACATTTGTGAACACTTTTATGTTGCAAATTGCTGTTCTATCAAATCACCTCAATGGCAGGGATACTCATGTCCGGCAGATCAAAGTTTACGGGCCTCGACCGTGAGTAGTTATGCTTTTATTCTCGACAATTGCAGGATCGCTTATCATCGACACCATCAATTTTAACTACTTTCCATATTCCATCGAATGCAGGAACCCAATTCCTCATCAACCATTTCAATTTACTTCAAGAGAGTTCATCACTTATTCTACTATAAGATGACCAAAAAAAGCTGACGAGACATGACTGATGCTTGTTCCAACAGCAAAAACCAATTTGTATGTATATTTTGTCTCAAGTTATATAGAATTCTTGTGACCTTACCAATTAATCAACCCGAATCACATCGATAATTTTTTAACCAGGAAGTCGTGTCGTATTTAGGTAGTTGAAAGTAGGACTGTACCTCGAAAACTTTAGGAGATTCGATTTTTTTTAACTGTCATGTAATATTTATTGCAAAGGAAACACAAACTGTAGCTTAGTCTAGGCTCATAGCGGAAGGTACTGTGGAGAACAAGGAGACTTCACTCCTGGGATGGTTTTTTTCGGTTAAATTACCAGTTTAGTTTCTGAATTTTCTGTATCGGTGTCTAAAAGGTTCGTGTTGGTTGGTGGAACTTTTCGTTTTATGTCTAATTCGTTAGAATTCTAAATTTTCAATTTCATAAGTTTTAGAACTATGTTTAATTTGCAAACTACGAACACTCTAATATCCGTTTATGATATAACATTGCATTTTGTGTTTAATTGAGAGCACATGTCCAGGGACCCGAATATGATCCAATCGTACATTTAGAGTTTCACTGTATCGAGGAGACAATTTGAGTCATGAGATTCACGTGATGCACCCATTCAAGTAGTATACTGAATTAAATTCATGAATACCAAAAATAGGTTTGCATAGACACGAAACAAATCTCGACCCCATGACCCCATGTGATTCGATAAGAGGACGGATAGTTCCATTTTTATATATTTAATAAATAATAATTACATCTACAATATTTAAAAGATACAATGAGTTCTAGAACTAGAAAGTAAATGGTATTGTAATTCTACAAACTATGATGGTCTTTTAGCCGTCGATGTCATCGTCAATATCGTCAACCTCAATCACCAGTTTCTGCAATCTAACGCCTCTGCAAGAGATGATCGTTGTGGTACTCTCTGTTAAACGTAGAATAGATCATACCTGTATATAGTAAGAACCTCTTACTATATACAGATATGATATATTTTGCGTTTAACACCCCCTTAATCTGGATGATGTACTACTAAGTTTAGATTGCGCCTAAAATTGTTAAAAGAAGAAGCTGGCAATGGTTTTGTCATGATATCGGCGAGCTGATCCTTGGAAGAAATTAGTCGAACATCAAGCTGACGAGTCGATACTCGTTCACGAACGAAGTGATAATCAACCTCAACATGCTTCGTCCGTCGATGAAATATTGGATTGGCGGATAGGTAGGTGGCACCAATGTTGTCACACCACAGGCTAGGCGCTCGCGCTTGCGAGATCTCGAGCTCACGCAAGAGAACTTGGATCCAAATTAATTCGGCAGTGGCATCAGCAACCGCCTTATATTCGGCCTCCGTACTAGAACGAGAAACTGTTGATTGTTTCCTCGAACTCCAAGAGATAAGATTGCCACCAAAAAAGATCACATAGCCTCCAGTGCTTTGACGATCATCAGGATTCACGGCCCAATTAGCATCCGAAAAGGCACTCAACAAATCAGTGCTGGACTTTGTAAGACACAAACCCATATCAATAGTGTCATGTAGATAATTGAGAATTCGTTTGATTGCCGCTCAATGTATAGATGTTGGGGACAACATGAACTGACACACTCTATTGACACATAATGATATATCAGGACGTGTTAGAGACAAATATTGGAGAGCACCAACGACACTCCGATAGCGAGTAGTATCCTCAGGCGAAAGCTTTTCACCACCATCCAATAACAACTTCTCACTAGGAAGCATATGTGTGGACACACATTTGGAGGTGAGCATATTGGTTCTGGACAATAAATCTTGAATGTATTTATGTTGTGTCAGAATAAGTCCATTGGAAGTATGGCGGACCTCAATCCCAAGAAAATAACTCAAATGCCAAGATCCTTGACGACAAAATCATCCTGAAGCTGTGTAAGAAGTTTCTCAGTAGCCGTAGAAGATGAGCTGATAATAATAATGTCATCAACATAGATGAGGATATACATCTGAATGACCGTCTTGTTAAAAATGAAAAGAGAAACATCAGCCTTTGAAGGTGTAAAATCCAGCTGTAATAGTTTGGAGCTAAGACGAGAAAACCAGACACGCGAAGCTTGTTTAAGGCCATAAAGCGACTTATCCAGCTTGCAGAGATAACTAGGGTGTTGAGAATCCATGAATCCAGGGGACTGCTTCATATAAACATCTTCATTAAGAAAGCCATGAAGAAAAACATTTTGAATATCAATCTGCCGAATAGCCCAACCACGAGAAATAGCAAGAGACAATAAGAGCCGAATAGTAGTGAGCTTAACAATTGGACTAAAGGTATCATCTTGATAGGACTCATCCATCCTATGCCAGCATCGGATAGCAGTATGCCCCACTTTGCCGCAGATCTGGCAGGAAGGACGAGCAGAAGGGCCACGACAATCACCATCAGGACGAGAGGGTGCATAACCATGAGAACGACCACAACCACGATCCCTACGCCCACGATTCTTCTGCTGACCACCACGACCAACATAATTGGCAGAAAATCCAAGATTTAACTGAAGTTCAGCACGACCAGTATAATTGGCAGAATATCCCGGATTTAACTGAAGTTCAGCCTGGTGTTGTAGTTGGCGAGCTTCAAACGTCATTAGATGTGCAAACATATCATCAAGCGTGAGGGCTTCGCTCTTGGTAGTCATTGAGGTGACGAAGGGATCATAGTTAGGGCCAAGACCAGCGAGAAGATATGCGATCACATCATCATCCTGCAAGGCAGAGCCAGCGGTGGCCAGCCCTTTGATCTTGCAAAAATAATTTGCAGTAGATTGATCTCGTTTGTTGGACGTGGCGAGCTCAACACGAATCTGAGTAGTGCGAGCACGAGTTGACGACAAAAACATCTGCTGCAGGGTATCCCACACCTCCTTTGACGTAGTAGCGGCAACTACATCGTGAAGAATCTCTTCAGACATGGAGGAGAGAAGGCCGCTAAGGACTTGTTGATCCTGATCATACCACTGATTATAGGCCGGATTAGAGACCAGCAGCAGTTGAGGAAGGGACCAGCTTGGCAGGTACGACATTGGTGCCATCGAGGTAGCCCATAAGCTTCGTACTCCGTAGGTAGGGGAGGAGCTGGGCGCGCCATATGATGAAGTTGTTTTTGGTTAGATGAATTGTGACAGCATGGTGTAAAGGGATTGTGCCAAAGATCGCCATGGTAGTTGAGACGGTGGATGGAGAGGAGGAAGAAGATATGGTAGACATTTAAAAAATAAACCTTGACTCTCGTACCAGGTTACATTCTAAATCATATATTTAGTAACAAACCATGAAATCATAGATTTGGTAACAAACCAGTAAATCATAGATTTGGTAACAAACTAGTAAACCACTAGATTATTTTACTATATACAGATATGATCTATTATACGTTTAACACTCTCGATTATTTTTAAGGTTTTTATTTTATTTTATTATTATTATCTTCATAGATAGCCGTGTTTGATAACAATTGTTAGAATCACATAACTTATACACTCGATCTAGATGAATAATATGAAAAATAAAATAGAGAAGACACATAAAAATTACGTGGTAACATTGGGATGGTTAGTTCCATGACGATTAGGGATTTATTATCTCGATGATTTGAAGTAGTTACATATAAAATAGTCAATTTAAAAAAACTTAAGAGAATATATAATATTTTATCTGGTAAACTAAATATTTTCTCAAATTATTTAACTATTAAGCCTTTTGAAGTCTGATGGTGAAAGTTCCACATCCACTAATTTAGAGAATGATGATGGGTTTATAAGTGAAGAATACTGTATGAGGCATTTTGGGGAAGCCTAAAGCAAAACCACGAGAGCTTATGCTCAAAGTTAATCCACTCACTAATTGAATGAAAAAATCTCTATAAATGCCTAAATTAATCTTTGAAATTTACCAATTTTTTTTAATATTATAAAAATTTAATATAATAAAATTGGAAGAAAATCAAAATGGCGCCTCCGCCAAGAACGAACGAAAGGTCAAATTCAAGTTCCCGCCATTTGAACACAGCCAATGGCGCCAAATGGGGTGCGTAAATCTCTTCAGATTCAAGCCAGTAATCCATCTTCCAACATTTTTTCATCTTCGGTTTCTTTCTCCGGACACCGATTCAAGCTACTCCAATGGAATCTTCAAGATCGTCATCATTCTTCCAAGATCTCAGTTCCAGAGAGCTCAATGGATTCAGAGGTTTCCCTCTCTCAACCCCCGCAAATCGCTGTTTTTGTGTTTTCTTGTTATAATCAATGTATAACACTCCGCTATTTCATTTTCAGTTCGAAAGCGGCCGCGATTTGCCGCTGATTTTGCGCTTAGCTTTAAGGAAGTCGGAGCTCTTGCCATTGAACACAACGGGGACCAAACGCCTCCGTTGGCCGTTTCGTTCTGCAAGGTCCTGATTCGACTGACCTATTGTTGTTGTTTTGTATTTGCTTCTTTTTCACTGTTTGGATCTGAGAATGAATGAAGGATGATGTGAACATGTGTTTTTGTAGACGTTGAAAAATTCTCACATATTTGCACTTTCGGATGAGGATGGGATTGTAAGCCTGTTCAATACTCGCAGCAGATTTTCGTTGTTTTCATCTCATCAGGAAAATTCAGGTTTTGGTCTCTTTTTCCTCACATCAACATTGTTGATTTGGAATTTGGTTGATTTAGTTGACGGACGTAATTTTTTTTTTTCTTTTTTCCTTTTACAGAGAATTCTAGGATCTGTGAATGGGAAGCCCATCGCAATGCCGTGTTTGATGTTTGTTGGCTTAAGGTAGTTCACAAATTCAACCCTCCCTGAACTTACTAATTCCGTATTTGAGCTTTTGAATGTTCTTATTTCCACCAATACTGTTCAATTTCTCAACAGAAAGCAGTAATTCACTAGGCAGAATATTTGGAATCACTCGCTTTTATTTAACTACTGATTTATATAGTTCTTATAATGAGACCTGCATCCTAATCATGAATTCTAATATTGTTCAGGACGATACTCAAATGATCACAGCTTCGGGTGATCAATCTGTAAGTATTATAATTTAGCTCTTGAACATCGTCGATATTTTGAACTCTGTCACATGTTTTCATCTGTGAGTGAGTTGTACATTTCTGTTGAACTTCTGCAGATGAAGCTATGGGATGTTCAGGAAATGAAATGCATAGGAATATTGAGAGGGCACAAAGGAAGTGTGAAATCTATATCATCTCACCCAACTAATCATGGTACACATTTCATGTTTTTTAACACAAAAATCTTTGTCTAAACATCCAAAAAGCCATATCTGAGTGACTGCAAAAGAGAGCTACTTTCCTCTAATGGTTGATTTTCTTTGACCCATATAGATATAATTGTATCTGGTTCTAGAGATGGCTCGTTTGCTCTTTGGGACTTGAGAACCCCTTCTTGTTCCAAAGTTGGCAATAAGGAGCTGTGCTTGCGGTAAGTAGAATTGGTAGTCTTTGATGTTTTAACTGTTAGAGTTCCAAAGTTTAGTGTTCTAACAACTTACCAAATTACCCTGAAACAGGGCAAGTGCTGTAGTGAAAGGAGCCCATCTTTCCCCTCATGCAAAGCGCATCAGGCGTCAAAAGGTTTGCTATTGGCATTTTCTCTTCATCATTTGATTGGCATAAAACCTTACTTACTATTTCAATTCTTCCAGTCTGCTTCGAAGAGTATAACTTCAGTTCTTTATCTAAAGGACGAACTCTCCGTAGCCACAGCTGGTGCAGTGGATAGGTGCGTATAGGATTTACAGTCAATAATCTTATATAGAGCTAGAAGTAGAATTCCTTGCTGTAGCTATATAATGTTACCGATGTTCGTTCTTTTCTTGTCTATAGTGTAGTGAAGTTCTGGGATACAAGAAATTTGAAAAATGCAATCACTTGGTGCCAACCCAAATCCAGTGACAAGGTAATGCTCAATTCAAAGATAAATTGGCATCTTATTTAGATTTTTGTAGTACCATTAACATCTCGCGTCTAATTATACATAATTTACCATGATTTATAGGATACGAGATTACATGGTATATCTAGCTTATCCCAAGACGCAAATGGGTCACTTCTTTCAGCATCTTGCATGGATAATAGGTAATTATTAATCCCGAGCTATTCTTTCCAGTTTCATGGTCCCTAAACACCTATCTCTAGCTTCTTTTGGGATTGCGTGCCTGCAAATAGCTACTGGAGGAGCGCGATCTCATGACCTCGAGACAGTTTCGCAAACTTGGCTTGTATCATGTGTGCAAATAAGAAAATGACATCATTTTTTTCTGTCCCTATAACAGAATATATTTGTACAATGTACTTCAGCTGGAGAAGGGTCCTATGAAATCGTTTTCTGGATGCCAAATAGATTCATTCTTTGTAAAGGTGAGTGTTGTCGTTGTCCCAGAAAGCCATGAAGTTACTTGTTCTTAACAAAAAATTCCTTGAATATATTTTCATTTTTAATGTTTGATGCTTGCTTATGCAGTCTGTAATCAGTCCTGATGCTTCTTACCTTCTCAGTGGTTCTACCGATGGAAATGCCCATATCTGGCAGGTCAGATTCTTTTTAATACAAGCTATTGTTAAATTGTGACACGAAGTTATAAAGCTGTGTCAAATCAGGTGGATAAGCCTCATGAAGATCCCATCACATTAACGAAACATAATGGAGAAGTTTCGGCGGTGGATTGGTATCTTCTCCAAACCTTTTGCCACTTGCTCTCAGCCCTCTATGATTATTAAATCATTCTGATAATTTTAACCTCTTTCAGGTCTTCGTTTGAAGTCGGGAAGTTCGTGACATCTTCGGATGATTTCACGGTATGCAAGCGAATTACGAATTGGATATACGATTCAATTTCTTATTCTCTAAACACAATACCTTCGGTTGCTAAGATTTTCATAATTCGTAAATTAATTTAATTACTATACTATCTCTACATTTTCATAATTCTTTCACTTCCAAATTAATATATTTTAATCCAATTCTACAAGTTCGGTAATTTTTGTCATGATCTTTCGTTAGTCGTTAGACGTCAACATTAGTCTATTGAATTCAAAACATAGTATTTAAAGGCCTTTCTTTGTCCGAGTTTCTAACAAATAATTTACAAAAATTCTTTAGGCAAACGACTTTACTCGAATATGATCTGTTCTATAGATTTTATAACTGTATCCCTAAGTTTCAAGGAGACAAAAATTGTTTACCCAAAAGTTTGAAATGTAACAATAAATAGATTAAAATATTAATATGAGCATGGATCAACTAGTTTAAACATAATTTTTTTTTTAGGAAAAATCTTCCCACGAAAACCCTTTTAAACCTTATAAATTCTACAAGATTGCCTTTTGATGATGTTTATTTGGCAAATTATCTGATAGGTTCGGATATGGAATTCCCAAAACAGCAGCTGCAGCTCAAGCAAAAGGGCAACTTCATGCAACCGAAAGAGAATTATGGCAATGCCGACTTTAGAACAGGCCAAAGATTCTGATAGTTCGGATTCTCCATACTTCGACAGAGCCAATGGCAATATCATGGAGCCCAAATTAGGCACTCCTGAATCCAAGGTAAAAAGATTCTTATCAGACGCTGCTTTAATTGAAAGCTTTGAGAAAACACCTGAAGCCACTGCAAAAAGCCCATCTTCTGTTCTTATTCCTCCTTCCTCCATGAAAAGAAAAACAATCCGAGATTACTTTCTAGTTGCTTCATAAAGCCTCAATTGATTCTTCATCATTTCTAGAGAGTACATATTGTTCATCCACTCTTTTTCTAGACTTTACCTCAATTTTGGTGGTGCATTCAAATAGAAGCCTTTTGAACAAGAACCTCCCCAAGTTTGCAGTTGGTAGCTGACTTTTTTGGGTCAAGTTTGTACCTTAGTTTTGGATGGTATGAGATTATGTGGTATTTTGTAGGCTTGCATTTGAGATGTACAGTGAAGGGGAATGCAATTTTGTAAGATGTGAATGATGGTATTTTAACTCATTTTGGTATATATAACATTTTGAGAGCTAAATGACACCTCTCTAATTGTTATAGACGGTAGTTGATCGAAGCTCTAGTAGGTAACCATTCCCTTCTTAGAAAACTGGACATGAGACTTATGCATCATACGTGTTGAAAGAATTCTTTTAATCTCTTCTACATGGATCTGATCGACGATCCTCTTTATTTGGTAGTGGTTTACTAAGGCCTCTACAGCCTCAGCTCGAAGGATCAGAGATTGCTGTTTGGTTTGAATAAGTAGATACCATTCTAGTGGAGTAGTTCGTATTCCCATTAAATTTTCCTTTTCACTACTGTTATTTAATAATACGAAACGTACAAGAATATTTGACATCCTTAAAGCTTCAAATTAACGAGATGATTTTTTACCTCTTAATGATATAATAGACTTGTAAAGTCAAAATCAATCGTTATTTAAACTAAGCCTTTGAGAATAATGACGCTAAATCTCCTAGTTAAACAAGTTAAATTATTTGAGTCATCAATTACTCGTGCTAAATGTGAGATAGACAAACCATATTCTTTTTTATACGCTTAATCATTCTAATATTTCACTCAAACAAATACTTTACAAATAATCCTAATAAATATAAGTTAAAGTACTAAAAAGAAATATATCAATATTATGTTGTTTTAATTTTACATATATTCATAATGTATTTAAATTGTTAATTAATAGGTTGAATAATGAAAAAAAAAAAAAAAAAAAAAAAAAAAAAAAAAAAAAAAAAAAAAAAAAAAAAAAAAAAAAAAAAAAAAAAAAA